TACGGTACGAAAAGTGCAAAAACGCATAATCGCACCGGCCCCCCTGGTGCGTTCCAGCCTGGGTTGCATATGTGCAAATTGCAGAAACGCATATTGCGACGACCCTGTTTGTGTGTGTATGTGTGTTTATGTTCGTCTATCCGGGTATTTCAACTCGGCAACCAAGCAAGCTACGGCGACAAATTTTTGCCAGTTGGTTTCCCGGCCAAGTGCAGCCCGGGACCGCGATACTAACCCTCACACACATTCGGGCTCCGCTTGCGACCCCGTGAGAATTTTGGCGGGAGAACTGCTAACTCGGGAACGAGAAAAACCAGAAGGCTGAAACTTTAGGGCAGTGTTCAATATTCATGTACAATCAGTAAATATTTTCTTTAAATTTCAATAAATGCGCGATAAGTCGCCTTGTACTCGGAAGCACTGTGCCACTCAGAGGGCACCAGAAAATGTGCTATTCCTAGCAGAGGCTGCAGAAGCACGGCGGAGTATCTTCTCAAAATTCCAATTTCTCTTATGCAGCAGAGGCTATTGCGCTCACACAATAAGAATTCAACCTTTTATATATAACCTCAAAGTTGGGTTTTTAAACCATACGAAACCACAACAAAATATAACAACTCTAGTAATCTACATGCGCCCTACACACCCCTACTTCCTTACAAAAATACCCCACACTCAGGCCAAGGCAAAAAGAGACTGGAGGGGGGAAGAAGTACCAGGGGTACAGGGGAAAACGGGACTGGACCAGGGGGACAGTAGTAGGGCAGCGGGGTTGCCCCCGTTGCCGGAGAGTTGTGTGGAAGCCGCCGCGCGGCTCCCTAGCGTTGAGTCTATAATAACTTCTCGCTAGCGAAGCAGGTGTGGCGACGAGGGGATGCTGTCGGTTACGGCACGCTTATTGGCCCTCCTTTTTAATGGAGAGATTAATTTGTTATTTTGGAAGGAGCTGGGGTCAATAAGATAATGGAGACAAAGGAAAATGGGCTTATTGGAGGGAAGTTCAGGGTTTAGGGCTAGCAGTAAAGGTGTTAGGCAGCGACGATAACGGTTAGCTTTTACGATGCCTTGACCCAGGAATTTGAATTTTACGACTGGAGGAAGGATGGGAAATTGGGAAAAAACAATTATTATGGAATAAGAGCTGCAAATGAAATGGGGATGTAATTCCCATTTACAAATCAAAAGCCTTCAAATTCAGCTGCTTAGAATCATCCATGTCTCACGTGCGGGCGCGTGAAAGTCTTGGCGGGAAAATTGCTAACTCAGGCATGAGAAAAGCAGAAAGGGTGGAATTTTGAGGGAATGTTCCTTATGTGCGATTAAAAGATTTTAAACCCAACTCTTCTAGTGGGCTCTTTTTCGCGCACCAGCAACCTTCCATTTCTCGGGTCACTGAAGCCAGCATCTACAAGTGACATGTCACGCAGCTGCACAGTTAACTTCCTTAACTTCAAAGGCCACTATATCACAAATTCTAGCTACTGTGATTCCTTATGACCTTGTTATAGCACGAAATAGTGCAAAAACGCATGATCGCACCGGCTTGCCTGGTGCGTTCCAACCTGGATTTTTATAGTGAAGCTATGAATTCAGCAGGTATTGATCTTCCTGGCAAGTGATTATGAATAGAAAGCACTTCATGTCGGACCAAGATGACTATCTCAATGTGCTAACAGATAAAATCTAGGAATACAGGGACTCAAAAAAGCAATAGCGAAAAGAAGGTGACCCGCAACAGCTGTATGCCCAAATTTCGATCAAGGCTGATTTCGACTTGGACTGCGGTACTTGCAACGGTCCAGCCCTATCAGACTTCATTTAAAAACCCTGCTTTTCAATATTTAATTTCTCAAAATTCTGTTTCGCCATCTTCGCATATCAGAACAAGCGCCAAGGTCTTTCTCACAATTTTTGAGTGCGTTTTTGCTCGCATTTGTTTTAGCAAAAAATTTTTGTCACTCTTTGTTTTCACGCGTATCTGCATCCCGGTATTGTGATGTATAACATGTGGGTGGCATTGAAGCTATAAAAGAAGGCTGCCGGATATTTCGGATTTTCTGATCCTAATTTTAGTATAAATAATCCCGAAACTGTAAAAACTGAGCTGTCGTATTTGAGAAGCGATACTTCGCTGTTCGGTTCTCATGACAGTCCTCCTCTCAGCTTCTTTTTACTGCTTTAGTATGTGTAAAAGCAGCTAACTTGTGATCGTAGTCTGCAACGCATTTCTGCTAAAACCTTTTACGTCAAACGTTTGCATTTCTACGCTACTGTAACACTACTGGTTCTAATAAAACCCAGCGTTAATTACTCCCTACGCATGTAATAAGAAACTTTTCTAATAATGTGTACTTTCATCCATGTAACTAAAGCACATTCCTTGATCTTCAAAGCTGTTGATGGAGAAATCAATTCATCTAAGATTTGCTGATTTCCGTAGAAGACAAAGTGCGCTGCTTATGTTCAACCGCTAGAACAGAGGTAGAAAATAAGCCTTGTGTGCTGCATACGTCATTCGCATAGCGAGTAAATAGCTACTTAAATTGGCCGCTGACTTGTGCAGGCTGAATTCGCACAGCAAACTCGGGCAAAACTGACCGCGCAAGCCGTGCTTGCTTTTGGTGAATAGTTGACAAATAAATGAATTTTATTCTCTCAGAATTGCACAGGTATATTACGTATAAATGTTAGAAATATTTATCACTTTCACAGGCACGAGGACTTTCTGTAAAGCATAATTAGAACTGTGTCTGCAGGCTTCTCGGGTTCAGCCGCGCATCACTTTCATTCACAAACTGGCCAGTTTCATAAGAAGAGTTTTGTTTGGCGCTGTTTTTCATTCAGGTGCATCAGTGAGGTGAACTAGATGGCTTATTTAGGTTCAACTGCTACGTATTCTCCCAAGTAAATTCTAGATTCGCTTTCCTCAATTTTCATCAGTGAAGCGAACTGGATGGCTTGTTCTGATTCAACTGTTACGTCTTCTCTCATGTATATTTCAAATTCGGCTTTCCTCATTTTGATCGGCACAGTGGCTTGCTCTGATTCAACTGCTGCATCTTCCACGTGAACTTCAAATCTGGCTTTCTCCGTAAATAAAAGATGTTCGCCCGGTTGGACGCGTTCTGCTCACTTTCTCGCAACATCTTGGTTTCCTTTGTGTCGAGGTTCATACAGCGACGAGCTATAACTGGATACCTGAGGAAATGACCCACATCGCCTCGTTCACGGGTCGTCGGCAAACGAAAAGCCATGCTGGTCTGTGAAAATTCCCCACTGCTTCAAGTCTTTCTTCAGCGGATCGCTTCGCATCAACATTCTGCAATTCGCCTCTCTTAGGCACATCTTTTGAACAAATGGCGAGAAAATGCACACCTCCTGTAGGTACATCCTGCTGTACATCGGCTGTGGCGGTTCCCCCAAAGTCATTTCATTGTCGACCTCACTGTACTATTCAGCGTGACTCTGAATGCTTCACCAGTAAAGTTGTTGACACGGAATTAGCGTCACAGCTTTGCTCCAAGAGCGTTTCTGTCCTCCTCTGCACATTTTCTCCCATATTATACAAAACTCGGCCAACTCACAAAACCGTCTTCTTGCAGATCACCTACCACTAGTCTCATCCCCATCGTGCGATTCGGTCTTCCAGGCATACAAAATACTTGTCCATGACACAATGAAGCTTCCTCCTCCATATACTGCCGAACGATGCCCATGGCCGCTTCTTCCAGATTCTTGCCACCTTCGCAAATTCCCTATCATCCCGGTCGACCTAATTTGCAATCTGATCGGTTCATCTTCGGCTGCGCCTTGAAACAACAATCGCACCGCGTCCGGCAAATCGCAACGAAAACAGTGACAATAACAGACGCACGATTGCTTTTTATTGATTGGCTGGAAGGCACAACCCACTACTGTCACGTTAAAGGCCAAAGGTTCGACTTTGCCACTGGAATATGCAGATTTGGTTTTGACATTTGTTTACATTTGCATATGCGCAAAAATGCATGGAAGTGTTTGTGAATAAAATCAGTAGCGGCGCGCAGAGAGATGCCGATGCGTTCATCCGTTTCCGCATGAAACAGTTCCGTAGAGAGATCGCCTGTAGCGGGCGTGACTGCGATGTTGCAGTCTGAACAGTTAATGAGTCTGTACGCAGGAATGCCCAAGCAGAAGCTCATTTTACGCTTTCTGGCCCATGAATAGCAAACACCCTCAGAAAAATACTGCTTCGTAAGTTAATTGAATGCCATTTCTGCCCAAAACTAACTTCCACTTGCGCACACGCGAGACTTAAACGTCATCTGAATTTGAAATGTTTGGATCGGACATGGCCACAGAATATCCTAGCAAAATCTCAGCTGCCTATCCTGGATAGTGTTTTTCGTTACAAATATCTCTGACGTATTCGAATGCGTCACATAGGCGTACGCTAAAGTTTATGTTTACATACTCGCGTGTGAGCAATAAATATTCTTGTGAAGTCAGGACACTCAATTCATCTGATTCCTGAACTAACATTTCGCCAACGCCTGAATTTTAACGTCAGGTATCCGTGCGCGTGACGGGGACTTGCGTGGTTGCATAATCTGAAAACTTTTGCTGATACATGAGTAGAAAATATCCAAGCGAACTTTCAGTTTGCTATCTTGTCTGGCTCGAAAAATCATTTTCCTGCAGTTAAACTTACATCTTTTGAGCGCCTGTACGTGGAACCTGTGCGTTCGTGTACAATGGCTTTAAATTGTCGAGACTGCGCTTGAGCTAGGACATCCTCACGAAATTCCAGCTTTTTAGCTTCTGTGGCTGCTGGGTTAAATGTGAGTGACAACAATCCAAACACACACACACAAATATACTGGCAACCTTTATGCCAATGTGCGTTTTTGCACTTGCATATGCAAAAATGCATAGTGACCAGATGATGTTAGACCCAAGCGTCTGCGTCCGGATTCCTTACCGCTAGAACCTTAAGTTCCGCTTCAAGCATGGGAGCATTCACCTTTCGCGTTTTTATGCAAATGAAGGGGAAATGTGGGATGGCGAGAAGGCATTTTCTTTTTACGCCTCTACCATGGCAACGGCGACGAGGAAAAAAAAGCAAAGAAAATGAGGAGATAATCTGGCACGAGCACATCGAAGAATCAGAACAATAAATTATCCCTGTCGAATTATTGGGAGACTAAGAACACTAAATATTGCTGCCAAAAAACTCTCGCGAACTGGGAAATATAAGTACCTTTTCCGGAACCTTGCGGGGGCTGGAAGCTAAGATGCTTGTACGGGTCACTGCGGATCCAATGTGCTTCCCATGCAAGTACATAATTAAGCATTTGGCGAGAATAAGTTAGAAATTCCAACCAAGAATACCAAGACCGATCTAGTTATCTGTGTAGGTTTCTGTTAATGAAATGCTCTGGTATGCTCCCACACACCAAGCGCAACTATACCAGACCCAGCTGCAAAATTTCTACCAGTTTATGAGGAATGCGAGATTAAAAATGTGCCCTAGAGACAGGAGGGTTAAAGCAAACATTTCATCTCCTTGCAAATATTCTCAGCCTGAAAGCAGTACCACCGCTTTTAGAAAGAATTTTCCCACACTAAGCATAACACAGTGTGGAGAAGACTGAAACAACAAAGGGATTGTATTGCCGGTTATATGCCCTAAATACTTTTTAAAGACGACATTGCGCTTACGTAGAAAACCCACAAGCGGTGTAGAGTCTGTTATAAGAATCTGCGACCAGCGCGAAAGAAACAAAAACTTCAAAGCCGTGGAGGAAAAACCAAGCGGATAAAGAACACTTATTTGCGAAAAGTCTGAAATGAGGCTTGAGAACTGCTTGCTGCGCCCAAGGACTGAAATATCCGCCTGGGACAAAATATAGTTGAATAACAAGATCGGTTTGGAGCTATGCACAAGAAATGGATGACAGTCACCTCAGATTACGATGTTTTTTCCAATCCTTCTGAAAGCACTGTAAAGTGTATTGTACTGATGATACTACGCTATAAATTTGCAGAATTTTACTATCACAAAAACTATACCAATAAGCCGTGAAGAAAAGAACTGCAGTAGTTCCTGGCGATATCACTGGGCCGGCAGAGGGAAAGAGAATTTACAGGATAAAATCTCCTTGTCGTGTGCGGAGAAACATTCAGATTTTGTTCAGGTCGCTCCGGAGTGTAAACTCGAAAGAGATTTGTTGACATTTCAAGAAAGTGCCAGCAGATGGGAAGCCCGCTGTGAGGGTCTGACATTCGTTAGCACAGCGAAATCCTTGTGTTCGAGCCCCATCCAAATAGGGCAGGACAACCAAAACGTAAACTAATGCATTCGGTATCGCAGTAAGCTCTACAATTCGTTTGCTGGGGGATGCCTTGCAGGGTTAGCAGCTGGTTAAAACAGTACTCACAATAACTGACTAAGCTTCTACGTTTACTGGCACAGAACTCCCCCAGCAGTGATCATTTACTAATAATGTGGGCACTCCTCAACAAAACCGATCTTGTCGGCCAGCAGAACTCAATCACAAATGTTAGTCTTAAAAAATGTGAATTAATCTACTAAACAATGCATCGTCCCTTATCGCACAGAAAGGAGTTCGCACAAGACGCTTCGCTGGTGACAATCAGCTGGTGACAATCCAAGCAAAGTTTAATGCAAGCAAAAAGTGGAACAGAAGGTGAGCTCTGTTACCCAAATTCAAGGGTTGCTTTATTTCTCAAATACCTGACAAGCAAGCCCAAGGTCAAACAGAAAAGCCAGATCTGCTGTATATGTATGATGAACAAATAAAATGCAACGCTGAAGTCAAAAAAATTCTTTTCGCATTACGCCATCCATCTTTCATTGACAGCCGGTTGACACTATTTATCGCGGGCAGTATCATCAAAAACGAAAAAGGCTAGTTGACTTCCAGGAACATGGAGCATGTGATGATGACTACGTGAACGCTGAAGCTGACTAAAACAGGAGGAAGGTCTCCCAAACGGCTGTTGACGTGAGGTGCACCCTTCATAGTACTAAGTCAAGACAGAAACAATCAATCTGAATAAAAATTTACAGCGGTCAAGCATCATGTGGTGAAAACATAAAGTTTCTTCTTTCCGACCTTGACTCTTCTGGTGTTCCCTACCGTTACTATGCTTAACCTCAACTGTCTTTGTCAACCAGAGGTAACATAGGTATATTTATGTGCTAGCAAATAACAATAAGAAAC